CAGTGCAGCGACCTTCTGCTGAGGGCTGCAAGCCCGCTGAGTAGCGTTAGCAAGTGCTTCGCCAAAGCAAGGCGGGCAGAAATGCTGAAAGTTGTTCCACAAGCCCTTGCTCTGTGGGAGGGCCGGAGATTGGGGCGATTGGGGCCTGCAGGAGCGAATGATGAGACTCCAGACTATATTATATATATATGTATATATATATTAGTATTGCAATTGTGTCTTCTGAGTTGATGTCCTCAAAGCGCTGAAATAGTGTTGGCCGTTTTAAAAGTTTAGCTGAAAAAAGTCGCTGTATTCTAAAGTGAAAAGAAATAAAACTGATGTAGTCTTTTTTTTTTCCCCATGTAGAAACAACTGTGGTAAAGCAGCAAGCTGGAATAAATGATATTCAGTACCTGCTTGCGCAAAGTACAGGTCGTGGCTGTGGAATGCCAAATTAAAGCATCACGAGTTGCGGAGGACGTGTTTGGCGATCTCTTTGACACCTGCAAGCGCTTCCACACAAGTCGGTTTAATTTCATGAGGAGGCAGCAAGAATCCGTAAGTTCCTGTGTCCCGAAGCTCAAAAGTAAAAGAATATTTAATGCCAAGATCGTAAGCCCAGTCATCTGAACCTCCAGGAGCTAAGTCTGTGCAAGGAAGGGAAAAGGAAAATAACAGCTGGAACCAGAACTTGAGTTTTCAGTGCAAAAGGCGGCCTCTGATGCCGCAGAGGACACACTATTGTGCTCACTGCTGGAGCAACCACCATACTTACAAATTGTGCGTGCGCCAGCGCCAGGTTTGTATGTTTTTCTGGTTGTCCTCTTAATAACTTTAGCCACTTCGTTTGCCAGACTCTCCTGAAATGACCAGAACATTATCAGCATTACAACTTTGTGGCAGTGGTTTGTATGTATTCAGGTAGGATTTCTTTTTGCTTGTGCTCCAGACCCCTTTTTAGTTAGCCAGCCACAGCACCACTCTGCCAGTCCAGAAAGATTTAAATGGGGTTAGTATGGTACCGCCTGCCCAACGGAGGATGTATTTGTGCCATTTCTGTGGTTTGTTGGCCCAAAACTCAAAATCTACATAATTTGGCATGCTTTGATCATATGATTAAGACTATCTGAAATAAATATCTCTAGAAAAACACATTAGTAAAAACAGCAAGCATCCACCAGAATGTTTTATTGCTCAGATGTGTGAACTTTTGTTTGATTTTTCATTTCCCACCCAAGTAACTCTAAAGTTTGTATAAAGCATGAAAAATAATTACAAATTTATCCAACTGCCTTATCAAGTTGTCCAAAAAACTTTGACTCAGACTGTTTAGCAGCACATGGAAAGTATCAGAAATTTATGAAGCCCTGGAATATTTTCCTTTTTCCATGGCTTTCCAAAGCGTGCTGCTTTTACACATTGCTAGGCCAACCCAAATTCCTTTAAGTTCTTAAGAATATCTGGCGAGATCTCCTTCCCAAATCGTTATCATCAGAGAGTTGTGACTCCCTTGTTGCCAGCCTAACCAAGCACCGTAAGAAGTCCAGGAATAAATGTGAAACTTAGGAAGTGGGAAGACTTACCAGCTCATCATGGTCTTTACTTCTGTTGGTAGTGTAAGAATATGGGAACAAAACCATCTGGGAGTAAGAGTGCATCGTTATGTAGGCTTTAACGATGTCTTTATGGTTCCTGAGAAAGCGAGCCACTGCTCTCACTTCTGGTTCAGACTCTGGGTAGGGACCACAGTAAATCTCATGACATGCATAGGAAGATGCTCCTTCACCTGTGACAGAAGAGAGAACACTATCACTTTTAGCAAAACTTAAGTAAATGTAAGTTTTTCCCTCCTATGGTTAAGTGAACTTGAGTTTTTCCCTCCTGTGTTATCTGTTTAGCCAGTGCAAGAACAGATTATGGTGCCAATATAGAGAAAACACAGACTCTTTCATGCTATGGGAAGCGCTTGTGTTCTGGCAGAAATCAGTGCGAGATTATTCAGATTTCTCACCTGCTGTACTCCAGAAAAAAACAAAAAAGTCGAAGCAAAATCAAAATGGTTCAAAGGCTGGGTAAAAAGTCCTACAGGGGAGCATGAAAGTGCTCTGTTTCTTTAAATTCATCAGGAATGGGATTGTGAGATTCCTGCTAAAGGTCTAGAAGTACTAGAAGTTCCAGAAGAACATCTAGAAGTCCTAGACATGCTATAAAATCACAAAGTTCTGAAGGGAAAAGACAGATTCTAGCAAGTTACTTGAGGGGGAAGATAATGACCATTGCACAAATCAAAATGTAAGGAATGTTAGTTCTTAAGAATGAGAAAAACTATGCACTGGAAGAAGTTATCGGAAGAATTAGTGATTCCCCATTTTTGATACTTACACCCTTCTGTTATACAGTGGAAGAAGCAGAAATATGCTGAAGAGTGGACTGTGGGGAAGGAGTGGTAACAAACGTGTCTGGAACATATGGACTAGGGGGGAATCAGAAACAGGTTTTGGGACAGGGAAGGATGTGCCACAGCTTTTTTTTTTTTTTTTTTTCTTTCGTGTTCCTGTATATATATGTTCAATGAATTGAGAGGTACAGGATGATTTTCAGGGAGTCCATGAAAATGCATGCACGTGAAAATACAAACCGTTCCTGGCATCTGCGTAAAACCTTGTGAAAGTGAGTAAATCAGAATGCCACGTTTTATACTGCTGTGTTTGGCACAGAATTTAGTACCTGGCCAAGATAAAAGACAATGAAGAATCTATTTCCTAGACATCTTGGTTGCTGCTTTTCTAAATTCTTGTGGAATATATGAGAAAATAATGTGAAAAACATGGAGGAATTCTAGGTCCCCAGTCAAGGCAAATTTAGTTTCATGGAGCAAATTCAAAATAATGTGTTCTTTTAGTGGAACAAATTTGTCTTTTATTATTATAAAAGAAAAGCATCAGCGCATCAAGGAGTGTACTTTTCATAAAAATCATGAGGGCTTTGTTCCTGTTCAGAAAATTCTTAACTGAGCAGCTGAAAAGGAAGAACAGATAAACACAGCAATACAGCCCTGATTAAATGCGTAGATTTAACCCCTGGAATTCTGCAGTGATGTGAAGTGTATTTGCAAGCAAAGCTGAAGCCAATAGAAGTCTTCAATTCCAACTTAGGGCTTGAGGGACTTACTGAATTCATTATCTTTTACGCAGCTACATTAATAATATAGGGATTTTGCAATCCAGAATATGTTCAGAATAAAATCTGTTGAACCATCGCTGTCGGTTATGATTCAAAGATTTATCTGACTCAATGCAAGCAATATTTTTTATGGTAGGTAGGACTTTTTTTTGCCATCATTTTACTGACTCCATAGAACTAAAAGGAGTAGAAACCTCTGGAGATCCTCACAACGGCAAACATAAGTTATTGCAAGCACCTGGCTTTGCTGCTTAGATTCATCTATTCAAGGAGCAGTTTCTGTCTGATGACCCTACAAGGTGGTGAGGCTTCTCTCTTTCATCTTTTCAACCCTGTCTAGGTGAGGTGCACAGGATAAGTGAAAACTGTGTCATTGTATCCCTAGTCACTCAAATAAGATGCTCCAGTTCTGGCCTGTCAGAATGTACGCTTTGCTCAAACGCTTTTTTTAGAGAGGACCCACTCTGTGGTCTTCTTGCGTTATTCTCCTTTTTGTAAGGCAGAATCACTTGTCTGGCTCAAAAGTTATTAACCACCAAAAGTGTTTGGCAAGTCACATACATTATTAAAGGTGACCAGTTGGGACAAAACAGTGGAGAATTTACTCTTCTGAGTTTCGAAATGGAGATTGGGTGGCGTGGCAAGGGCACCTCTTCCTTTCTGTCTCCCACAACTTGCATCACACGTCTTAGTGTGAGGTGAAACACAGGATACAGCATCTTGCCCCCCTTCTCTCTTGTCATGGCCCTGGGAAAAGGTTAGTCCGTAGTGTGGAGTCCTTAGGAGGAAAATCCTAGGTCCCCACAAAAAGTATCTCAAGTTGAGGAACTGTTCTTCTCTTCATAGATGTTATTTGGGTGCATTCATCTTTACATCCACAGTAACTTTGTGAAAGGGAAATTAGAGCACTGGAACAGGCTGCCCAGAGAGGTTGTGGAGTCTCTTTCTCTGGAGATCTCCCAAACCCTCCTGGATGCCACCCTGTGCCACGTGCTCTAGGTGTCCCTGCTGGAGCAGAGGGGTTGGACTGGATGATCTCTAGAGGTCCCTTCCAACCTCAACCATTCTGTTATCCTGTGAAATATTTTAAAACTAAGAACTTTGAATGTTGAAACTGAGGCAGAGAGAAAACGGGAAGGAGGTGAGATCGTACCACACCACTGTGCATCAAAGTTCCTGTTCATGTCGGTACCGATACACTTGCTGTTACCGTGTGAGGAGCGGCTCTTTCTCCACAGCCGTTTCTGTGAAAAGAGACAGAGAAGCCAGGGTGCACAGAAAAAAAGTAAGGAAAGTTATGTCATCATTTCCTTGCATAGCTAAATATACCTTCACATTTGTATCTCTATAGTCATGTGCTAATGAAGGGGCAAAAAAAAAAAACCCAGAAAGATTATAAAACCACAATCTAATTGCCAGAAAAGCTGAGTGATGAGACTGTGTGTTGGACAGGAAAAGATGTGGACATTTTTAGTCTGACTTCAATAGACTTGCACAGTGGAAGGAGGGGAGGAGACCTACTATTTAGTCAGGTATATAAGTTTACAAGGACAACCTTTCTGTAGGGACTGTCAGGCATGTGGAAAGCTGGGAATCCAGTGTGCAGTTGTTGGGCTGTATGTTGGATGTGGACATCCAAATACAAGCAGAGGTGAGATGAAAATCCAAAGAGTAAAGAAGAGATTTAAAAACAAACACAGACAGACTGACAAAAAAAAAACTTAGGGGTATAAAAATCAACCATGTTGGCTTCTCAGAATCTCAAACCAGTCAGTAAAAAAGAATCCTGGGCCAAGACTTTCACTTATTGTACCTCCATTTATCTGACATGGAAAAGAAAAAAAAAGAAAAAAAACCCTCCTGGGCTGTTTTGCAGGATTAAGGAGTTACTGGCTGTGACCAGTCTGATGCAGTACACTATTCCCTTGGGCTGGATTGTGCCAGCACGTGCAGCCTCTCGGATGAAGGCTGGCAGAGGTATTCGTGATGTCTGGAAGTGTTAAAATCGCAGGATGGGATACTGTTATTTCCAAATGCCTTTCCAGTAGTTTGGAAGACAGGAAGGTTCTAAGGGTGAGATATCAATTAGCCACAGTATTTGCCATACTTTAAAGGAGGCAGCAGAAGGGCAGACATTTCAAGTGCAAATCAATAAGTTTGGGCATGCAGTTCTGAAGCGGAAATTATGCTGCAAACGTCCGCCCTGGCAGTTCCCACAAAGGACATGTCAGTGTGTTCCACAGTGTGTCTAAAAAGCCTCTACATACAGAGGGGTCGCTCCACGTGTACTCATAGCCATCCACGTTCACCACAGGCATGACGTAGAAATCGAAGTGCTCCAGCAGTCTCGACATGATCTGGTCTCTCTCATGGAAATAGACTGTCTGTAAAACACCAGGAAGAGTTTTTAAAAGCACTTATGATGGTGTTTTTCTTACCTTCCCGAAAAGGTACCTGGTGGTCTATGTAAAATAACCATGCAATTATTACACCAGGTTACCTTGTGATGGGTGAGTATCACATCAGAGAAACTGCTCCTGCAAATAGCACTTTGGCAGGAACTCCGAAGGGGGGAAACAGGGAATCGAACTGGTACAGGCAATCAGACACACTACAGTTGTCTAATGTTAACTAGTGGGTTATGAGACAGAGCTGAAACCTATAAGGAAGAAAACTTGAGCATTTGCTGTTTGTATAAATAAATAGTTGTGGGGGGGGAGAATAGCACAAAAATAGCATAAAGTCACATAAGCACAAAAATAACAACATTTCATGTAGCTGCTGTACGTAACAATATTCTTTCTGGTTTCATTCTGAGCTCAAGGCACCCGTATGCAAAGAGCCAAAAAAAACACTCCTAGTTTTGCCTCACAGTTTATTTTGAAGGCTTAAGTGATTAAGTGTCAATCTGTCTACCATCTAACAACAAAATTAAATGATAAAAAGTGGAAACATGATAAAAATGCCTCATTTTTGCAAAAGAGAGCACTACTGATGTTAATGTGTGAGCAGATGTCTATTAATGTCAGATTTTAAAATGTTTCTTTGTGAAGGGATATAGGAACAATATTTGAATTTGAGACACGTAAGTTGAATCAAGGGGAAGGAGAAACTAAATGTTCAGCTTGTTACTGCTGAAAAATATTGCGGGGACATTTCGCTGGCACAGTGACAGCACAGCTGGTAATTATTTGGAGCAGCGTGAAAAGGGCAAATGCATTTCTCTCCAAGGGAGCCTTAAAGGCTGGGATTATCAGTGGGGCATAAGGTACATTCAGCTGTATCTGTACCTAACTCTCACAATCATCTCCTTTAAAAATGTTACAGTCTTTGAGGTTTTATAATTGTGACTGAGGATAGAAATACACGTGTTTATATTCCTTTATAATTTATTATTTTTATTTAGTTCTATCATGGGCAAACTGTAATTCAGCTTTCAAGGACTCATCTGTGCTCTGGTGGCAGTGCTGGTGACTGTGAAGTCGCAATCTTATCTGGTTTGTTTTTATAGCGAACTTTGTTTTGTGAACAAGTAATTGAATAAATGTCTCAGAAAATTATTTGCGCAGTTATTTGTTGAGTTTATTTCTTGGGAACCTGTTTTTCTGCTCCACAGTAAGAACTGAAAGAAAAGCCCAGCACAGTGAGTTTTGCCTGCAGTGCTGAGCAGAAATGTCTTAAATCAAAAAGACCAAAGATGTCTTTTTTTGGCGCAAACCCCTTGTCTGTCTCTCGGCCTCCCCTTGTTGACTGTCCTGAGCTGAACGAGATCACTAGAGACGAGGCCTGACCGTTGGTCTGGGGCTGCATAATGAAGGTGCAGAGGTTCAGGATGCCAATCTCCACCTCTCAGCAGCTGCTCGTGATGGCAAAGAGCAGGACAGGGGCAGTAGGTTCATCCTCCCAAGCCTTTTTTTTTTTCCTCCTAGAGTTATCCAGAGGGAAATCCTTGATTCCCAAGCATTTCCATATTGTGGCCATGGTTTCTGGATGGCATTCTGGAAGGCAGCTACATAAGCAAATTGAAGTTCTGGTCTAGCTTCAAGGAGAAAATGTCGTGAAAGAGCAGCAATTTATCTTTCCATTTTCCGTAGAAGAACAGGCCATTCTAAGAATGGAAAACAATAAAATGGGAGTGATTCTGTGATACCGATCTCTTCTGGGGTTGTTCACAGCCCTGTTGCTCCCAGCTTCTCTGCTTACACAGTCCTTGTATGCCTGTCTCCTCCTGGAGAGCCACAAGACCTTTTCCACCTCCAATCCCTACTCTGGAACTCTTTAGTATAGGTCTTTTTGCATTTTTATCCCTGGCCTGTGGGACCCTTATTTTATTTTATAAGTGATAACTCCTTACCTTTATTGTGATAACTGGTTAGACTATATATATTTTGAATGTGGTCTGAGGTTTTTTGTTGTTGTTTTCAGTTTAGATTTAGGCAGTGCATTGCAACATTTTTCTTTATTTTACATCCAGGTAATGAGGGCATTTCTGTGTAAATATTTGGATACCAATGCCCATATTTTCACTTAAAGTTTTCATTTACTTTGTTCTTGATAACAACACATTTATATTCTGATTATTTGACTGTGATGTGCTACGCTGTTTGTTGTAGGGCCTGTTGCAATAGCTTGCTTTTCTCCTCATTCTGCAGATGAATGATTCTGCCTAACAATGGTAAGAGAGCAAATGACATGGGGGCCTCGAGTCTAACGAAGGCGTAAGTAGCAGAGATCTTGTCTCTTGGAGTTATTGGAGTAACTACTGATGTCCGGAAGCAGCCAACCTGACGTGAGAGAAGGCTGAACTCATCTGGGCTGGGAGACAAGAGGGGTCTCTTTATAAATGATGTTCCTATGCTGAATTTACCACTGCTCATGCTGAGTGCATAATACAGGCTCATCCCATCAGTGATCACTGGTTTCCATGCACTAAGATTATACATATGCATGGCAATGGTTGCCTCTCATGTCCTGAGAGTTTCTCCAGCAAGAATGGTGCCATCAGAAGGTGGCCTGTGTGGCCTCATGCTCTGAATGAGGTAAATCCAGGAAAAATCATGAGCATAAATAGAAAATCAGAGGCCTCAAGAGCAGTGGCAGCAGGCAGAGCAGCAGGTGACATCTCACAGAAAGAGCTAAATGAGTTGTAGGTGTGCCTGTGATTTAGCCTCTTTACACAGCCTGTTGATACAGGGCATTGTCATGGCAGGAGCAAGCAATGTTGGATGTGGGGTCCCTGTCACACTAGAGAGGCAGGGAGGGACTGAACAAGGATTGTGGGATATCCCAAGCTCACTCTGGGTGCCCTCTGATCTACGTCAGGCCGTGCCAGCCAGACTGTGGTGGACGTGAGACACCATGCGCTGTTTGACACCAAGACCAGAGCCAGGATCATTCCTTGGCAGGGATCCAAGAGGCGATATAGACAGTTTGAGCTCTTTTCCATTTGATCCATATGACATTTTTCCTCCCTCTCTCTCTTTTCCTCCCATCCCCACTGATGCACACGTATACATCCACAAGCACTGCTGTATATACACTGCTGTATATAAACATTAAACACAGATCTCCTGTTGGTGCTCTGCAAGTAAATGGCTTAAGACACTGTAGAAGTCAGAACACAAGTTGCAAGAGGAGGAGGTAAATAGCATCAAAATATCTTACTTTGCTTCAAAAACAGTAGTCAAATATGTTATCTACTCACATGGGCTACGAACCACAGGCAGAAAGCAGGAGAAATCCACTCTCTAGCGTGGATGCCACAGTCAATCCATATCGTGTTTTTGGCTTTTTCCAGATTTTTGGAAAGCTGACAGAAGAGAAATTTTATTAAAATGCCACTGCTTAAAATGCTTTGCTTAAATTGGAAGCAAAAAATATAACCAAGATGAAAGAAGAGGCGTCTGTCTTGTAGGGAGAGCTTAGGCTGATCTTGGGCACATTACTGCTTTCATTTGCATTAGCTTATGGTAAAAGAGCACCTGCAGCAGGGTCCTAACATGAGCACCAAGACCACAGCAGTAGCTGAGGTAAGGAGAGAAGATCACCAAGTATTTGGGACATGGACCTAGATTGCCTTTATAAGGAGGAGGCTATCAGCCACGCGAGTATTGCATGTTCTTGGATGGTGGCCCAGGTGTGGTGAATTCTCTGGCTTTCAGTGACCCAGTAAGGGAGTTAAACTGGTCAAAGATAATGACTCTTTATTGGAAGAACATAGGAAAGTTCTAAAAAGGCAAAAAGATACAGATTGGTAAAATATACATATAAATATAGATGTAGGAAAGCGTCTTGGCCAAAACCCTTCACTTGCTTGCATTGCTACTTCAAAGTACTTCACAGTAAGTCACAGTGCTACCTTCAAAATATAAAGTGGTCGTTTCTCAAATGAGGATCCAATATATATTTTCTGGAGAAGGTCAGAATGAGTTTTCACCATTTCATCCATCCAAAAATATATCTACAAAGATGAAGTGGATCAATTAGTGTATGGATCTTTTCCATCTTGTTTCCCCTCATCCCTGAAAGAGGTCTGAACCTGGATTCAATCTGCTTCCCAAAGTGCTGCTTCCTTCCAGTGACTGGAAGGAGAAACTAGCAATTCCAACCACTTACCCCTTGCCTGACTCTGATTTCTTTAAAAAGAAACTATAGGATACAATCACAGCAGTATTACACTGAAACTCCTCTTTAATTTCATTTGGTTAAAGTACTATTCTTTTCATATCTTAGAGATTTATGTGATGTTTTGCTGCTGCATTTCCCTTCTGAGCTGGCTGTGTTGGAGTGGGGGTTTGAAGTAATGAACGTGTAAAAGATTTTTTCTTTAGCTGTGTGCTTCCTCTATCCAGCCATTACAGTAGTTATAACTCTCACTAGCTGGGCAATACAATGGTAACTCTTTACCTGTAGGTGATTTCCTTCCCTGTCTCCTTTCTAAACCACCAGACAAATTTGACCTCTAAGTAAAACTACAGAAGCTTACAACAAAAATACCTTACTTCTCTCATGGAATGGTAGTTTTCATAATATGATGAGGAACTGCGTGGATTGACTGTGTCATTGATGGTCTGTTTTTCAATAAGTCCTTGAACATCTGTCACCAAAACTCTAAATAAGAAAGAAAGAGCACAACCACTGAGCAAAAGACAGTGTGGCCAAACAACTTTACCTGAAGCATTCATGACAAGGAATAAGCAATTCATACTTGTGCGTGATAGTCAGTCTCCTTAATTCAGCCTTTATACTGTTAATAAGGGATGCATTGACATAGAAATGGACTTCATTGTCCTTCTTGATGTATTCAACTGTAACAGGCTGCCACAGAATGACCTGCAAAGTTTGCAAGAAAGTTTTATTTTTATGAAGGAAAGAAAAAATATGCCATTAACATTTAATAAGCATTTTGAAAATGATCAAAGCATATGTTTTCAATTTAAGAGACCATGTATAACAAGCAGTTTAATGTTCCGTGTGCTTTGTTAGTGCTTTCTGCTACTGCTGGAAATGAAAAGTGTGTATTTAAGAAATGTTTATAATGACTCTTCTGCACATAAATTCATAAATCAAGAGCAAAGACAGGAACACAGCCTTCTCTGAGACAATATTTCTGGTATAATGGATATGTTTAGCTGGTTATTATGTTACGTGTTTGCAGGTCTGCTGAGAGTTATTTTGTATTTGGGGAATTAATGAAGATCAGACCAGTCTTTGTAGTTATTGTATTCACTGATTACTTTGATCAGGGGTGAAATAAATGCCAGAAGGAGTTTGAGTCAAGATAAAGCAGCAATACAGAGATTAGAAATGGGAGGAAAATTAGAAAATGAGATTCTTATTGGTAAAATTAAATCTTATACAATAATATAATCAGAAACCAAGATACTCAATAAGAGACTGAAGCTATAGAAACAGTAATACCAAAAGACATAGGGGTGACAGTAAGCAGAAAATTAGACATGAATTTACAATGTGAAAAAGGTCAGTATAATTCTTGGCTGCATACTTAAAGAGGTACAACATGGAGTCACTAAAAAAATAGACACATTTCCCTCTTTCTGGAGAAGTTACACTGGGAATATTATACTCAGCTTAGGACACTGTGTTTCCAGGAACATATCAGCAGTCAGCAGTTTACCTGACCATTTCCCAGACAAAACACACTTGCAGCATCATTCAGAGAACTCTTCCATGTTTCTAATCAAGACTTTGGAATGATAGATGGCAAAACATTAGGGCCCCAGGTGCAATACTGCATTGTGCTGCCCACGTAGCTGACCTAGTCTCAGTGTAGGTATCTCAGACACCGTCATTGGCAGGGTGGCTGCAGGATCTCATGCCTCGGAGTTGCTGCAAAAACACGCCCAAGAATCAAGCTGGATGCCACATTCACCTGCTCTGATATCCCTGATGCCCTGGTTAGCCTGTTGCCAGACCGAGGCCCTCCCGTTGAGGTTTGGTTTCTCACTGCTGAAGATGTCCTTCTAGCTGAGAATAAGGAGATATAAAGAACTCTAGGCTGGCATGGCCGAGTGGGCAGAGGGGCGATGAGTGCTGGTAAAAGAGAAACTTTTATAATCTGCAGCATAACTGGTCATCAGCCCATCATCAGCCATGGTCAGTACTGCCTCAGCTATGGCTAGTTAAGACTGATACAGATGTTTCTGGATCTGGGTCTTCTAATGAATGCTGTTGTAAGGATCAAGTGCAACCTTTTATTAGGTTTTTGTACTCTGAATTTTACAAGAATAGCACATGTAACGAGCCTGCTAATTCTTCTTTTAAGATGCTAATTCTCAGTTATTTATTTTTTTTCTTGTTAGATTGTAACCAACTAGGTTGAGCTTTCCCCTGTGGCTTTTATTTGCCACAAGCTGAGGATCTGCTTTTCTTGTGTGTGTGTGTGTGTGTGTGTGTGTGTGTGTGTGTTTTGCTTTGTTTTGAGGGATTGTTTTATAAATTTCTGCTTAAACAGCTCATCTACTTAGGGAAAAACACATTGATTTTTTATGTGTTAAAGAATTTTGTATAATGATCTGAACACTCTTGCTACGGTGTTGAGGAGTTTAGAATACGTTGTGAGGTAAAGATACCATATGTAGTTTTGTTGCCTTTTTCTCCTCTCCTTTTCCTTGACATGCGAAGGTGAAAGAGAGCAAGTAAAGGAATCCGAATTTGTGGGAACTGAAGCGGAGGGTGAGACAAGGCCAGGAGGGATAATGGAAGAGGAATTGAGATAGGCATAGAATAGGAACCAAGAAAGACAGGGAAGGAGTGTGGTTAAAGACATCATTAAAAGCTCTCAGCCGTCTGGGACACATCTTCAATCGTGTTGGTTATGTTGGTTGAGGGAATGTAAGTTATGTTGGTTGAGGGAATGGTTACATTTTTTGTTGCGGAATGTTGACTTTAGACTAACTATTAGGCTGTGGTTGGGAAAATACTTTTGAAGAGGAAGAGCTGCCATATTTTAATTAAATTCTCTCTTCTGCAGTGACAGGTACAAGTGAAAAAGCCCCACTAGATTTCTTAGCAATAGCAGAAGAGACTTTTATCATCTAAATGCTGCTTTAAGAAAAATAACACTTTGGTAAGCCCTGCTCTTCAAAGCCCTACAAGGCATGTGATTCAAAATTGCTTTGGTCTAAAGTATTGGAATTCCCTGACAAATGTGGTGATAACTTGCTGCGTGTTGGCGCTTTACCAACTTTGCAGTGTGCTAGTGCACAAAACCAATTGCAGATATCTGAGTTCAGATATAACTCACCAAAGCACTGCAGAGTTCTTCTTATGTAAATCATAAGATACCAGAGCAGTGAAAACATAGCTTTTGTTGAGCTGCTTTATTAGAAGAAAAGAATGAAAGGCAGAGGGCTAAATCTTCCTCTGGGGTAAAATGGTATTTGTGAGCTAGACCTAGAGAGAAACAGGGAACTGGTTACCTCAGTGGTGTTCAACAAATTCTGAAGGGCTTCAACTTGTTCGTCCGTTTGTGGGAGAGCGCACAGAACTTCATCCCTGGAAAGACACAGGTATTCGGATAAAGCACAGCTACCTGAAACCATCACAGGTCATGAAAGACAGGCTTGGCCTTACTTGTGTCCCCTCTCTTGGCTACCATGAGCTTAAAGAGGACTCTGTAGCAAGAATGCTGGGCCCGGTTTTAGCCTTGACTTTTGCCAATCTGTCAAAATATGAAAGAGCTGGTGCAGGGCCTCGGTAACCATTAGCTTCTGCAGATTGCTCCTGGGAGCTGGTGCCAGCACAGGGCAGCCCTGGCTAGTGCAGAGCACAGCAGGCATGAATCTGGACTGGACTGGGAAGACATCTTTCCTCTTGTCCCCTAAGTTTCTGGAGTTCGTTCATCCTTCGGCACTGACATGAGTCCTCTCAGCCTGCTGCAAAAGGCAAACACAGCATTCCATGGATGTGCAGAGGGCGCTACCATCATCCTTCCTACTCCAATCCGTTTTTACTGCTCTCCTCGTTTCTCTCCCTCTGTGAGTTATGCAGGTTTCCAAGCACTTGGCACCACCGTCCTCCCTCCCTGTGCAGTAACTAATATTGCCTCTTCTACTTGAAACCCTGGCCCGAACATGCTGTCCAGGGAGATGGCCGTCCGAACTACTCCTGTGCTTGACCGCACCGTCAAGGACAGACGTGAAATTCGCACACAGTTCAGCAGCTACGAAAGGACAATACTCGACCCCTGTGCAAAAACAGAATAGCAGTAGCTGGAGCACACACGTTGCAAGGAAGAGGGAGAAATAATTCAGCTCCCTGAAGAGATCTTTGTTGTCTAAATGCTTAAGAAAAATATCCCTCTGTATTGTAAATCCGGTCCTGATCTTCAGAGCTCTGCAAGCCATGTAGCTCACAATTGTGTTGTGTAGGCTTGAAAATAATTCATGTTTGTAGAGAGAGGAGACTCGGGAAGTATCTGACCCTTATTTCCACTTTCTGGGCTGGGGTGCGTCTCAGCCCTCTAATCGTGTGGAGCTTATGCCAGTGCATAAAGCAAGCACTGGGAAGTCCCTAAGAGCCCTGTCTGAAAAGACTGTTCTGAAAAGAAAAGAGGCAGGGCTCTCAAAACAAGTATTTTCAAGCTGCAGAACATGATTGTCACAACTCATTGTTGTTACTGATTTCAAGCAGAGACCTGACAGCATCCGGCAACCAGGTGATTTATCTTTTCTACTTTTAGCCAGGCTCCAGGCAATCACTATAGTTTCTCATGCAGAACCAACAATATGCCAGCCTTATTCCTGGCCATCACCTTATTTCCACCATCATTTGACAGAGCATCAAATAGCAATCAGGGATAGGCAGGGGCTGGCGGTTTGCCTATTTCTTTAGACGAGTGAACTCCAAAGCCTGCATTTGGGACTGTTTCAAAAGTGAGTTTGTCTCATGGTGATGTTTGCCACAGGGAGCCTTTTCAGAAGGGAGACCAGATGGTTGTTCATTTTCAGTGGTTCTAGCATCTTCATCTGAGCTGCTTACTATCTTTATAAAGAAATAGGCACTTTGAGGGTTCAGTTAATCTGACCTATTTTAGATGTGTGGGCTGACCTGGAATTAATTACTATGCATTAGTACAAACATATGTTTCTCTCCATTGGCTGTACAGGAGGTGAAAGGAACTTGTTCTTAACGCAGAATTATGCAGAAAACACAGGTCAGATGAATCCCATCCGGAGACCCTGGCCACCATCTCACAGACAGATATAAATCAGTTCTCCATAGTCATCTTAGTCCCTTCACCCCTCCACTCCACTGCATTTCTTGATCACTAGGAAGGCAACTGGCACTGCTTGTTGTATGGGCTGATGAAAACTGAGCATCAGCATTGGCTCAGTGTGTGTGCCCAGAGCCTCATAGCCTGGCTTCCTTTAAACCCTATGTGTCCCTTCTGCATGATGTCTCCAGAAGAGAGGCCTTCTTACTTGTCTACTGCTCAAAGTTTTACCCAGGCTCTCAGCAGGTTATATTACTAGAGGAATACTGCAAAGATCTTCCGTCCCCTCAGACCTCGTCGCCTGGTGCCTGTGTCCCTCATCTGTTTAGCTTGAGGAACATACTGCTAGTTTCCTCTTTCAAGAGCCTATTCCACTCTTCCTGTCCTTGCTCCCTCACTGATGAAAGATTTTCTCCCAGCTCTGGTGACCCTGCCATGTCAGGCTCCACTCAAGTGGTCATTTTCATATGACATTTTCAAAGCAATATCTTTGTCTTGCATCTCTTCCAGTTGCTGGTGTTTGGGCAACTCTCTCCTTACACAGCTGCAAACCTCTTACAGGGAATTCCTTCGGATTCTTTGCTAAATATCTTTGCTGTGATGCAAGACGAAATTTGTATCACTATTTAAGCTGTTAGTCTTCCTGGAGAAGAGATTCTGTCTATGGGTGCTCTTTTCTCCTGCCCTGTTGGCTCTCAGATCATCTCCAGCTTTCTCTTTTCCCTATGGTTCAGTTCAGTGAGCTACATGCTATCCACTCCTTCACAAGTCCTGCATTATTTGGTATTTTTCTTAGCAGTTCAAATGCAGTAATCATGCAATAAACTTTCAAAGAGAAGCTTTAATGCAAAACCATTCAATTCTTCAATCCTAGCATCAAATGAAAGTAAAAAGTCAAATAAAGGCAAAAACACAGAGCAATGTTGCTCCTCTAAATTCACCTTAGAGCTTATTTATCTGTTGCTTTGCTTTAACCCTCGACAACTCCATGGCAATCCACAACAAAATATGACTGCAACACAAGGTGAGATGGATGATCCTGGGTTGGAGCCACAAATTGAAGAGGTGTTCACCTGTCACGGTCCTGCCACTGACTTGTCGTGCAAAGTCACAGAAGGGCTGTGAGACATAACTCATTATTATTTGTGTAGCTATTTGAGTTCTGGGAGCAGGCACGGCTTTAATCGTGGCTCCCGCAGGTTGTCCAGCTTGCTTAGTATCACCACATGAGGGGGTTATCCTTTTAGTTCCACCTATTACAACATTTCAGGTTTTTAAACCACCTGCACACATAGAAAACAAAGCTCTTTGGCTGTCTTCATCTCTGGCATATGTTTTCATGTTTTAGCAAGGTGTTTGGGGGCGTTTCTGAAGTTTATCAATAGGTAGCAATAAAACTGCTCTGAATCGCTATACAAATACAAAATGGTTATTCAAAAGTGATTTATGACTAGAAAAAAGCAATCATAAAAGCTGGTGTAATAAGAAAACAGATTGTTAGCACTTCCAGAAATGATTTTTCTTTCTACCTCAAGAAGTAATTCATTTAAAGTCTTGTTTTAAGGCAAACGAAGCAAATTATTTTTTCCCATTAAGTTTCAGAATGCCCTTCATTGGCACTCGAAAGCACTGAATGAACAGAATTGATTTGCACTTAGACTGAAAAGAATAGCTTTAATATGATTAAAAACACAGGATTTATGAATGCAAAGAAGACATAATAATTTCATTTCCTCCACCATCTATATATTACATAGTACCACATATCCAATTACAAGAGCAATAAATAAATGTCATCCTTTGCCAAATGTTTTCTTATGCAATTTGGAGATATTTTACCCTAGATTTTTCCTTTTCCAACCACACACTGACAACCTGGTAGCACCAACGAGTATTTACCTCAGAGGAATGAAGCCATGCTTCTCCTGAAGGCAGAAAAATAGAGTCAAAAAGAGCAGGAAAAACTTCATCCTAACAGCATTCACAATGAAACCCAATGCAATTGGAAAACCAAAGGTTCAGGACCCACATTATGGATTTCAAAAATGTTATTTAAATAGTGGTTAAAATTTAAAACTGTCTCTCACCTCAGTCCCATGCTCCTGGTGGCTGAGTCAATAGGACAGAATTCCCAGTGTGCTGGGAAGCGGACAGAGGGGAATAAATTGTTTGATAGTGCAGGTATAGCCTAAGGGTACGAATGCAATTGAATGAAAGCTCCCTTAGACATCGGGAGAATCCTGGAGCAGAGGTTAAGCATCAGGGACTGGGTTACCTTCACTGGTCCCCTCTAGAACCACTCTGGAGTGGTGCAGGTCAGAGGCACTGCCCCATGGAGGCAGCAAAGGAGCCTCAGAGCTCAAACTCAGTCTTGGCTCTTCTTTATTTAGCAGTGCAGATATGTCCAAAGAAGCCAGACAGCTGAGTTTTGGATGGCTAAAATCAGAAGAGAGGAATCACACTCCCTAGGGAGTACCTAGGTGTCAAATCTGTGAAATACACACTGAAAATCCCCAAAACAGAATGCTGAGCAAAAGTGGAAACCAAAGAGAAAGAAGTAAAAAGGGTGCACATGAAGCCAAACCTTTGATAACCTGCCTGGCCTTTGCAATCCATTTTTTATCTTTTCTAAACCTTATTCAAACAAATACAAAGTTCTAGTAAGTGACACAAGCCATTCCCGGTAGGGGAAGTGGGCAGTGCTCTGATGCAGCGTTTGATTTTTAAACCCAAAGTTCAGATGTTCTTCTCTCATGAAGGCAAAAAGATCCTGTTAACAGATGATAAAATACAGGAAACAAAACTTATTTTTAAATGAACATGTATAACTGGATGAACAAGTTTTGTGCATCAAACATTTTCAAATGAACATATATAACTGGATGAACATTTGATGCACAGATACAAATTTAAATAGAAACTGGATCTCCTAAGAGAGGTTTAACAGAGCAAATTGAAAAATGTGTGGGATGGGATTGCTGCTAACAAAGGAAAGAAAAGGTCATCTATGTCTGGATCTTAAGGTTCTCTTAAGAAAAGGGAAGACCCTCCTACCTCTCTAAGAAGAAACTTCTGGACAATTAGCAAGTGTGAGACATTTATATGATTTGGCTGCTCTTCCTGTGGGTTCTCTGGCTCATCTGCACAGAGGAGGTTCACACCCAGGTGGAAGGGTCTATTTGCCTACTTGTTTTCTGGTTTCTGTTATGCACAGGAAATATTTCACCCCTCCCAAAAATAAAAAAGGCACAGTGGGTGTTTGAGGAAACTGAAATGCAATTCTGAGAGAAGGACAGAGACTATGCAGAATGACCTTGGGGTGGGTGGTTAAAGCATCACACAACCTAAACCATGGTAAACAGAAAGGTAAAAGGAGGATGAAAGACCCCAAAATAACTAATGGAAGATGTGACTGACCAGAAGGCAGAGATATATCCCTATGCTTTCTGCTTGTTTGAAAGCATCATGGATCTCAAGGCTCGACACAGAAACCCGTTGCCTTAAAATGTGGGCAGAGCACAGCTTATCTGGATGAACTTTCTGTCTTTTTGCTTCCTGTAGAATTTAAACAACACGGATCAGCAATACCCTTCTCTGTGCATGCAGCAGCAAGGTCAAGCACAGCTCTGAAATCAAGGAGCACTGATGGCTGTCCTTGTGTTATTACCCATGGGTTATCCCAACTCCATGTCTCCTGATGATCCTTTTTCCATCCCCCCCTCTCCCCATAGCAGCAGCCAAACTGCTCAGATGCAGGTGCCTGAACTGAGGTTCCTGGGCAATCAGCATCTCTGCAGCAGGCTGATTTTTCCAAAGCCTGGCGGCTCCTTTCCCAGGGATATTTATGCTGTATGACACACATTTCACACACAAAAGACAATTTCTGTGACAGTTCAATCTCGGAGTGGATCAGGTTTCCTTGCCTCGTATGATCTATTTATACTGTACTGCTGAGGTTTGCTATAATAGGCAACCAAGTATACACTGATGACTGCCGAAACCTTGTGTGTTACTGAGGAGCACCTGGCTGTGCAGAGACAGGACATAAGTTAAAAAAAAAAAATCGACATAATAGAGAGGGATGGGAGTGTGTTTATACACCAGACTTAAGCATTAACTCCCTCGCTTTCCCCAAGCTGTTAGGGGTTATCACTTGTCCTCTGACTTATGTTGACATTCCCACCATCCGCTCGTCTCATCCACTTAGGAAGAAAGATTCATTTCTTCTGAAGTAGCCGTTTCCAGGGCAAACCGCTGCACCTGAGCGAGTCGTCTGGCTCTGCCTTCGTCGTTGTCGATGCTGGAGAGAAATAGGCGCTTTTAGGGAGCAATTCATCTGACCTCCTGCAGACATCTCAATTAGAGGGAAATGAAATGCCTGGTCCTCCTCACTCACAAGAAGCAGAGCTAGGGTGACTCGGAGGGAGGAGGTTGCACTTATTCCAGTGAATCCCACTGATTCTGCCTGTCTTCCTGTCTTCCTGCTGCACCCCTAGATACTTGGAGATGCTCGTTATGGTCACAAGCAGTTCGCAGTGCTCAGGGCTACAGAAGCTGTAAATTAAGATATGCTTGCAGTACCTGCAACTGTAAATTCTTCCTTCCCTTTCTCAGACCTGAAAAACTTTTCCAAGTTAAGCTAGGAATGAAAAGGCAGCTTTCAAAAAATACTGTCAAAAAATACTTGTCAGCAATAGAAAACATGGGTCAGTCAAAACATTTGTTTTTGATAATTTCAACTGTTGTTTGATTTTGATTCAATTTCAAAGACATCTCATCATTTCTTTTTTTTTTTTTTTTTTTTTTTGAAAATTAATCCCATTTCTAGACCATTTCATTATTTTCCAGAACAGGAGGAAATAAGAGGTAATTTCAAAAGGGTTGCAAGGGGCCCTTTCGGAGTTAGGAAGCTTCCTTTTTTGATCATATATACATATTTCTCTAACCAGGAAATTCGCCAAAGCCAATCCTGCTCAGCCATCTCTTTTGCTTCTGCTGAAGCAGCATTCCCTGACAAAGAATCGTTCGATCAGATTGTTCCTGCTCACCTCAGAATTTTTACTGCACCTGAATTAATTATTATTTTTGCACTGCGTAGACCATGCACTGTGCAGAGCTGGTACCTGCAAGTGTTACTCACAGGGCAGATATGGCAGAGATCCTGTGCAATAGAAGGGAACAGTCTGATCTGCACTGATTTCTGCTAACTTTTAGAGTAGCTTTGGGGGTCTGTGCTGGCTTTTACTTCAAAAAGGGTACTCAGGTCCCAGTTTTTAGCAAAATAATCTCTTACTTTCTTTGCTGAGAACTCCTGCTGCAGGAGCTATGGATGGGCAGTACCTATAAGCTTCCTGGTGCCGTTATTATGTTGGTTCTCAGATCTAAGCTGAGTATTTCAGCACATGCCAGGGTCCATATGAAGGCTGTGCTGTTCTGTTGATAATAACAAACGTGTTAACAAGCCCATGGATGGGGCAGGAGCGGGGAAGGGTCAGCTGCTATCGTAGGCGCTCCCGTCAGCGCCTTGTCCCAGTCAGGATTAGCACATTCTCCCCTCGTCTTGATCCTCCTGTTGTTTCCAGTTAATGAGTGATGAGTCCCTCCAGGGACTGGCAATCATACCAGTGGATCTGTGTGACTGAAGCAGCATGCAGAGTCCGCGTGGTTCTTCTTGGCTCTTTACATTCAGATTCGAATGCAACATGAATTCCCTGAATAATATTCACATTTCTTCACCCTCTTTTGCACGTTATCATTATTGAGGAGGACAAAGGCAACCTGCTAGCATCCCTCTTAAATGATATGGACTAAAATCTCCATTGCTTGCTATGCAGCGCAGCTCGGTGCCGTCACTCGTGAACCACACAAGGATGCAATTAGTTTAACTGCTCTTTATTATGAATGCAGCAGAACAGAATTAGAACTCAATTTAGAAGTCTCCCTTTCAAACCCATTCAGCTGTTACGGCTGCATCATCTTTCAGTTTTCCAAGGCATATAATTGATAAATGATTTCTCCCTCCACACCTCAGCTCCTCATCTTTATTCATGAGCCAGTTAATCTCCATAGGACACTGTGATCATTTACATACATGGCCAATGTTATCAACCTCTGTCATTTCATGGTGGAAGCAATTTTGCAGCCCATGAAACCTTTGGAATAGGAAATTCTAGACTATCTCTAAATTCCTGTGGTTCTGACATTTCTCCTTTGTGTCATTCCCTAAAATGAAAATCAAATTTCTACCTATACTAGGAACTGATGGGTTAATCTGTCAGAAGACGAACCTCTCGTCACAGTGAGTGCTGTGCAATCAGTATGCTCAAATCTTGGCTGATGACTATGAGCAGTGGCTGAATATACATGATCGCTTTGCGTTCTTGAGTAGTCAGTTACTCCAAATCTAATTTATTCATTTCGTAATCCACTTTCCTTACTATTTAGGCTTTTCAATAGGGTATCACCTCAGTAGAGAGGAAGATGCTGGTTCAGAGATGATGGTTCAGGACCAGATTTTATTTGTGCGTCCAAGGAGGCGAAGAGCTGTCTTCGCTGGCTGAACATTTTCCTCTTTCCCACTGTTTCCTGTGGGCTCGTTATCAACTTTCGCTGAACAATATGTTCTCCAAGTGACTCATGTTTTCTCATTGCCTGAAGATACTGATTTATTTGCCAGTGTCTTTAACAACCATCACTTGTAAAGCAAAATAAAGTTGATTAAACCAAGAGAAGTATCAAAGGGAGCATCCCAGGCAGAACTGCTGAGCCCTCCAGAAAGGTGCTCCATGTACCACACACGAGGACTGCGCTCCAGCTGATGTGCGAGAGAGTGGATGCGTGCTCATCCCCCTCTCTTACTATGCACATATATGTAGATATGGATCAGTACATGTAGCCCTGTGGTAGTGCCACTAGCCTATGGCAGACCATTGGCAGCATTTGCTGCTCTTTTCTGCACTGTCTGTACCTGCCCACCTTGCTTGGACTGGCATTTCACAGAATCACAGACTCACAGAATGGTTGAGGTTGG